TTTTTGGTTTTAAGTTTTATTCTATTAGTTGAAAAAGAGGGAGGAAGGAAACGAGAAATAAAAAAAAAAAAAATATAATAAATAAAAATAAAAACAACAAATATGTATATATATTAAAAAATAAAATAACGAAAAAAAAAATCAATTCAAACAAGCTAAATATAGTAACACATACACAATATTTTACGATTATTATTTAAATACAATAACAATGAATAATATAACTATACAAAGGGACGTTTGTCTTCTCTTTGATCTGATGATTGAATTGATTATTTTGTATTTGTTTCCTAAATATTATTATCTGTTCTTCCTTTAAAGTAAATAAATAATTTTGATTTCTAAATTGGTAATTTAAAGTATATGTCTTTTTAAATACGGAACTCTAGTCGTCTATTATTGAAATTAGTGTAACGCGAATTAGTTTTCAATGAGCGAAAATCTTTGCATTTATTGCTATTTTAGTGTATTAATTGTATATTTATAGATGGTTATAAAAAATATTAAAACTAAACTTTACGAAACTTATTACTATTACCATTACTATTAGGAGATGTTATATAGAAGTTGATAATGTGAAATGATTTTTTGAAACTTTAAAATATTACTTCCAAAAACGTTCTATATATGTAAAGAGTTGCTACATTTAGGGTTTAGGGGTGACATTAACTTAAATTTGCTTTTCAACATTTCTAGGCCTCGTACAATACTAATATTAATATGTGTTAGTATAGTTGGACAAGGGCCCTTTTTTTTAAAATGATAATTTAATACATATAATGCCAAAATAGTAATAGTGAGGCTACGAAACCGTAAAATAGTAAAATCTGCAAATGGCCATTGCCATAGCAGACTATATAATAATGCTAAACAAAAAATTGCTATTTACATTATTAATTGTTTTTAACAATATATATATATATATAAACATGAAAGACATCAATCTATTGCTTTAAATAATTAGTAATCGTATTGACTAAGTTGTATTAAAATAGAAAAATAAAAGGGTTATATGAGTTCAATAGCAATCAAATGAAGCAAAATGGGTTGTAAGAATCAAAAGTTTGGGACCATTTCAAAAATCAATATTTTCTATGTTGATTTGAAGCAATTTTTATTAGAGAATTATTAAATAGTTTTTAGTTATAAATTTTTTTTTTGTATTGTAAAAATAAATCCTATGATAGTTCAACAATTACTCCGACCATTATAATTACTATTGCTATATACCTATAAGCCGTAAATAATTACAACTTTACGGGTTCAAAATCAAAAATCAGGTTAACACAACCCATGTGTATGTAAAAGTTGCTCTACATACCAATATTGACCCGAATTTTAAACTCAAGCGTTTAGATTTTTTTTTCATTTATGAAATGTAAATAGTAAAAAAAAAAAAAAGATTATTTTTGTAAAACTTTGTTTCGTGTAGCAATTTAATAATCTATCGTTAGTTGGATCCATTAATAATCGAAAATTTAAAAAAACCATGATGCCTTACTAATATTAACCTTAATAACTTATAAATGACATGTTGTAATAATCCAAGGCTTGGATATTAATTACCGTTTTTCAAGTTTGGCACCAATCATTCAACAGAATGGTTGTTGAAAATATAAATACCAATAAGCATTATTGCTTCTTGATAAAATAGATGGTTTGATTCTTTTAAATATTGATTTCATTTTCTTCCCCAAATATCATTTCAAAAATCCAACCGATGGATGCTGGGATTTTAAATCAAGTTGAAGCAGGAAATGATATAACAAATTTAAAAATGGATACATTACCGGAAATAACATTTGTCATTAAAAACTGGAAGAAAGTGTCATCGCAAACCATTTACAATCGTTGGCATCATACTAAAATTCTTCCGGATCGAATATGTCCGATATTTCTGGTGTAAGGTTGCCTGATGAAATCTGTTTAGTCTGCTGTCGAAAAGTAAAACCTCCTACATAGTGCCAAAATGCCGAAACTGACTAAATTGCCAAAATGCCAAAGCTATAGTTTCGGCATCATTTGATTATAGTTTCAGCTAAGGTTTCTATTTTATTCAAAATATTTGATTTATTCGTTATGAATTTGAGTATTCAAATTACATTGAAAGTTTATTCGAATAAAACGAGTAACTCGAATAAAACAAATAAAACGAGTAATTCGAATAGACGAATAAAACGAATGACCGATAATTGAATAGAAGAATAGAACGAATAATTCGAATTAATATTAGGTTGTATTACGAATAACAATGATGATAGAATTTGTATTACGAATAGAAACTCTAAATCGGTAAATAATCAATTAAAATAGTCTTAATATATTAGTTGATCAAAAAAAATTTAGTCGATTTTATGCTAGTAATTATTTAACAATTTCTAACCTTTAGGTTAAATTATGGTGAAACTATATTAAAATCTTATATAGTTTCGGCATTTTAGAACGATCTGCCAAAACCATCTCTGCGGATTCACATACGCCATTCTGCCAAAGCTCCCTGGTTTCGGAAAGCAACCTCACTTTGATGATATTAATGATCCAATAACGAAGCAATCTTCTCATGAAGTTGCTGCTCTCAATCTAAATGATGCAATATTCATTAAAAGAATATTTAAATAATCCAGAAGAAGAAACTGTATATGAAGTCTCTGATGATGATAAAATTGTTAGAGCTCTTG